TGGGCTATGTCATTTTCCCTTACTGAGCTTGGCTGCAGGTGTCTCTTGTGGAGAAGGAAAGGGTCTTTTCGTAGAAAAGCAGGCATATCAGTTCTGCTCATGTTCCTTGTAGAGTCCATGTTCCTGGGTCTATGAGAGATGAGGCACACCCCTACCATCAAGGGCTTCAGGTGTCCTAATGGGGAGAGAGTCACATGCATTAAATGACATGGAGCTTCTGATTTACAATAGTGGAAGCTCCAGTAATGGGTCCTCAAGTACAAGAGACAGAGATGTGAATCTCATGAGAATGAATTGGAGGCTGTGGGCGAGAAGGAAGAGCTGAGATGGTGCAGAGGGAAGGGTGATGGACTCAGGGAGATGGAGCTGGAGGCCATTTCTGGCAGGGCCCACAACCTGGGCAGGGAGAGTGAGTGCAGCGTGAGGTCCACACAGAGCTGCTGCATGGATTCAAGCACAGTTCATGCAGGTGTCATCTCTGAAATGTCATTGTGGCCAAAGTGCACCTAGCTCATTATCTAAATAAAGACTGTTGTTTCCCTTGGTTCTGTGTGAAAGAATGCCCTGGAGATTTGTAGTTTAAATTGGTTCTTATGGGATGCTTGTCTGCCTAAGTTTGTGTGCCTCTGTGAGACTAAATGCGACGGATTTAGGTTGTAGATCAGCTGTGTGGCTTCCTTGGCCTTCAGCCTGAGTCAGACTGTTAGCGGGAAATTCAGGGTTGACCAAGGAACCGCCCCTGCTGGACTCCTGTCATCGCACCCCTGCACTGCTGTCACCACCCTTCCTGAAGGTTTGCATCTCCAAAACTTCCCTCACAATTTCCTGAGGCTTTGCCTGTGTTCCCGCTGTCTCAGCCCTAATACCCACTCTCTCAATGGGGCCATCTCAGAGCCTCAGCTTTGTAATCTGAGAAGCAGGGACAGTGTTGGTCTCTAAGGTCAGTGTGATGAAGAGGTGGTTAAGCACATAAGGAATTTGTAAAATGTATAGGACGAATGGGCATTCACCCTTCTCAGGGTGGAAACGAATGTATCTGCACACAGAAGATCATCAACAGATGTTCATTCAATTTCATGAAACTAAGGGTATAATGCCTGAGGCTGGGAGATTGGCAATTCCTGTTTCAAAAGATCCAACAAAGACGCCTGTGTGTTTTCTATAAAAATTCAGGTCCTACTTTACAAAGAAGGAAAAGATAAGTATGAGAATGTGTACATCCAGGGATCTACCTCTAAGATCTGAAGGCAATCTTCCATTACAGGTAAACACACAAATGCAGCCACACAATTAAATGCTCATCCCAGGCCACACATATATCATAGAAGACAAAATGCATAGAGGATAACAGAAGATCCCATTGCAATAACTCAAAATCACTTTGACATAGAGGACAATCAGTCTGAAATTTGAAATGGACAGTGAACCATTACAAACCAGCTGTGGTTATTATATATTTAGAGAAGGTATCTAATCTGCCCCTTGGTCTGAATGCTTTCCCTGCCCACCCCATGCCCTCCACTTTGTCCTTCCTAGTGTCCCCTAATACACTTGTCACAGTTGTGTCTCTGTGTCAGCATCTGCTTCCAGGAAAATCGACACTCATTCCCCATCAGGTGTACCCTTTGGGGTTCCTGTACACACAGTTAACCAACAGGTAGAATGTATAGTATTGGTGGAAGAAGACAGACCGTTCTTTGGGGTTGTATTGCCTGGAAAGGACCTGTAGTTCCATCTAGGAGTTGGACACATACTTTAGGAAGCTCTGGTGGTGGTGGTTAATTTTGTAGATAGATACTCATGAGCATACGGCACCTGCTAGTTTATGGGGTTTGTGTTGATGAGCAGGGCAGGTATCTGTTTCCAGGAAAGGGTCTATTCTGATGGTGAGGAATGGATTCAGGAGACCAGTAAGGAAGCTCTGCATGAATCCAGCTCTTGTGCCCTTGTGCACCTTACCAGCTGCCCCCAGTAGCACTAATCCAGGTGGCCTCCAAGGGGGCAAATGGCAGCAATTTTTGTGGTGAGTCACAGGATGTCCCATAAACCTCCCCCTGTTGCCTTATTGAGGCATGGGGAGGGCAGAGGTCAATGGTATGAGATAGGTTCCTTCAACACAACCCAGGAGAGTTGGGTATAAGATATGGCTCCTTCTGCATAGGCCAATCCAATCCACTTTGCCCCCAGGGACCTTGAACCCTGTGAGCCCTTTTTCCTCCCAGCTTAGGGAAGCAGCCAGACTTCCAGCAGCTTTCGGGTTATGGCTGGGCCACCAAGGGTAGATGTCTGGTTGTCTACATGCTGCCAGCATTGCTATAGCAAATGTCAACATAAGCAGCTGCTGTATGGGGGGTGGGGGGAGATTCTCCTCTATTGTGATCAGGGCCTGGGACCAAACATGACAGGAGAGAGGGAGAGACAGGAGTGCCCTGTGCTCCTGGAGAGGGCTGCATGCACAGAGCAGATAGCCTGAAGCCTGGGGAAAGGTGGAGAAAGAGATAGGCAGGAAGAGAGACACTGGATGAGTAATGGGGGAATTGGGAAAGTCCTAGGGAGTAAAAGGAAGAAACAGATAGAGATGGGGTTAGAGAGAAACAAAGAGGAAGTACAAGGAGGAAATTAGGGACCTGGTCCAGGTACATGGACAGCGTGACATGGGCCAGGGGAGAGGGGATGTATAAAGTGGCTCTGAGTGATGGGGCAGAAAAGGCTGGTATCATGGGCATCAGAGTTCCATGACTCCAAGACTCCAACTTCTCAGGGGCCAAGCTCTGCAGAGGCCATTGCATTTGAAAAGATGGGTGTCCCTCATTTCTCCTGGAATTGTGGGGATCAGCCCATGTTCTGTCATGGAGAGAAATGTCTTGAGGGAGAATGTGCTGCTCTTTGGCAGGTAAACTCCAGAGCCTGCCCTGTGGGGAGGTGACCCTGAGCCATCTCCCTCACTGCCCCAGGCCCTGCTGCAGTCCCACCCCCACCCCCAGCTGGCCTTCCTCATGTTCTGAGCCCAGGCATCAGGCATTGTGTTGCCCCCAAGTCCTGCAGGCTGGACCTGGCAGAGGTGGACTGCTGATATTGACAAAAAGTGTTTGACAATAAGGTCCATATTCTCCCTCTGGAACTAGCAACGTGCATCAAGATAGTGGGTTGCTATCCTCCTGTCCACTGCCAATCTGAGGATGCCAGATGGTAGGTGAACCCTTCAAAACACCATAGTCTTCTCTTACATCAAATTCAAAGATATTTTCTTCCCCTAGCTTTTTAATTCTGAAGAGATGGCGATTAGTAACTGAAGGCATAATGGTCCTATAGGAAATTGACCTATAAGACTGATGGACATTGTTTGATTCATCTATATCCCTAAAGCCCATTTCATTGAAAATATTAGCCAAGGATACTTACAGTAATCCATAACAGATGTATAGCTCCCTGTAAGTTGCATTCTGACCTTGTCATCTATGTGTCCATCAAAGACATTATTAGTGACTTTTCAGACAAGCTCTCAACATCAAGATGGTGATGTTAGAGAATCTGGTATAAATGGAATTTCATAGATTCTAAATAAGGAATGATTTTTTATTAGTTTTACTTATTTTTGAGAGGCAGAGACAGAGCACGAGTGAGGGAGGGGCAGAGAGAGAGGGTGACACAGAATCCAAAGCAGGCTCCAGGCTCTGAGCTGACAGCACGGAGCCCAATGCGGGGCCAGAACTCACGAACTGTGAGATCACAACCCGAGCTGAAGTCAGACGCTCACCCGACTGAGCCACCCAGGCGCCCCAGAATGATTTTTTAATGTTTATTTTTTTCTTTTTTCAAGAGAGCCCGAGCTGGGGAGCGGGGAGAGAGAGGGAGACACCGAATCTGAGGCAGGCTCCAGGCTCTGAGCTGTCCGCACAGAGCGGGACGTGGGGCTCAAACTCATGGATTGCAAGTCCATGACCTGAGTCAAGGTTGGACGCTTAACCGACTGAGCCACCCAGGCACCCCAGGAATGATTTTTTAATTTTTTTTCAACATTTATTTTATTTTTGGGACAGAGAGAGACAGAGCATGAACGGGTGAGGGGCAGAGAAAGAGGGAGACACAGAATCGGAAACAGGCTCCAGGCTCTGAGCCATCAGCCCAGAGCCCGACGCGGGGCTCGAACTCGGGGACCGCGAGATCGTGACCTGGCTGAAGTCGGACGCTTAACCGACTGCGCCACCCAGGCGCCCCAGGAATGATTTTTTAATGGCAAAGAAGGAGAAACTAAAAATAGTGTAAAGGATGTCGATTTTTAATTGAAATATTGTTCACACATTTGTTGTATTAGTTTTAGGCATACATCGTATTATTCCATATGACTATAAATTACGTGTACCTAACCACAAGTGTAGCTATCATGTGAAAGCATGCAACATTATTATTACAGGATTGACTCTATTCCATTGCCTGTACCTTGTATCCCTTGGACTTACTCACCCCATAGCTGGAAGCCGGTATCTCTCTCAAAGGTGTCAATTCTTTATCTAACCTAAGTATTTTGGTGGTAAACACAATTACCTCTTGTTCAGCATGTGTAAATTGGCAGGCTATTTTTCTGTGAACATTGCTTAAAGCATTACAAATGATGTCATTACATAAATAAATGTGGTTTCATTTTTCACTCACTAGAAAGAAGGAAAAGATTTCTTAGTTTCCCAGGCCCTGTCACCAAGACCCTTCCCAATGTGGAGAACAGGCTTAGTTGCCCAGAACACCTTCTATCCCTCAGCTGAGCGACCAGGGCCTCAACATTGCAGGAATTCCCATGGTGGCCAGCAGAGAGTGCTCGACCACCACAAACTAGGAGGGGCCGGTTCCTCTGGGTGTGCGGTGATGGCCAGCAGAGGGCGCCCCATCAGCTTTTCTGACCCAGGGCACCTCAGAGCAGGAAGGGCTTCTGTCGCCCCCAGAGGACTCAGGGCTTTGCCGCTGCCTCAGGACAGAGACCAGAGCTGCATTTCCAGCAGGTTCTGAAACCCGACCCAGGGGAGACCTTGGGAGCCTTGCAGCAACTTGGTGTCAGGACCCTGAGTCGCCAGAGAGAAGCTGCCTTGTTGCACTGAGTGTTGAGGAGGGGGCGCTGGGTGGCTTCCCTGGGTGCCCTGGTTGGTCAGCAGCACAGGCCCTTGCATTTTCTGGGCTGTTCCCGTGTTTCATTCCTCACTTTCCCAGACAGTGTTTGAGCAAGACGTATTTTACTAAAGGACCCGTGGATTGAGGGGTCTCATGACATCACATCATAGATGCCGTGGATGGTTTGTTCCAGATTCAGGCTTGTTTCCGGGGAGAAATCCTGACAGAAATTCAGAAGAACGGAGCTGCATTCAGTTAGGACATGAAGACATGAAATGCCCGTTTGTCTCAGGACCTTGTAGAAGAATGAGCTGGTAGCAACTTTCCGAGTCCTGCTGGAACCAGAGACCAAGGTAAGGGCACAAAATCATACATGCTTTTAAAAAATTTCATGTTTTTTTCCCAAACCTAGTGAAGTGATGGAAAACTACAGAAAACCTGGTAGGTAGGTGTCATTCACCTTATGTTATTTTTTAATTTAAATTCCGGTTAGTAAAGATAGAGTGTAATATTAGTTTCAGGTGTACAATATAGAGCAACACTTTCACACATCACCCGGTACTTACCCCAGGTGCATGTCTTAATCCCCATCACCTGTTTCACCCATCCCCACACCACTGTGGAAACCTTCAGTTTGTTTCCTAGTTAAGAGTCTGTTTGGGGCGCCTGGGTGGCTCAGTCGGTTAAGCCTCGGACTTCAGCTCAGGTCAGGATCTCGTGGTGCGTGAGTTCGAGCCCCGCATCGGGCTCTGGGCTGATGGCTCAGAGCCTGGAGCCTGCTTCCGATTCTGTGTCTCCCTCTCTCTCTGCTCCTCCCCCGTTCATGCTCTGTCTCTCTCTGTCTCAAAAATAAATAAACTTAAAAAAAAAAGCTGCTGAGGATTCAACTCAGTTAAAAAAAAAAAAGTCTGTTTGTCACTGTCTCCTTTCCCTCCTCTCCCCCCTTTGTTTTGTTTCATTTCCATGTGTTAGTGAAATCATCTGGTACTTGTTTTTCTCTGACAGGCTTATTTCACCCAGCATAACATTCTCTCCCTCCATCCACCTCATGGCAAATGACAAGATTTCATGTTTTTATGGCCAAATAATATTCCATACCATATACTACATCTCAGTTTATTCATCAGTTGATGGAAACTTAGGCAGTTTCCGTAACTTGGCTGTTGTAGAAAATGATGCTGTAAACATCAGGGTGCATGTATCCCTTTGAAATATTATTTTTGTATTCTCTGTGTAAATACCTTGTAGTGAAATTGCTGGATCATAAGGTAGTTCTATTTTCAAATTTTTTAGGAATCTCCATGATGTTTTCCAGAGTGGCTGCACCAGTTTGCATTCCTACCAATAGTGCAGGAGGTTTCCTTTTTCTCCACATCCTTGGCAACACCTGCTGTTTCATCATCCATTGATTTGAGTCATTCTGACAGATGTGATGAGTTATCTTATTGTACTTTTGAATTGTATTTCCCTGAAGATCAGTATTGCTGAGCATCTTTTCATGTGTCTCTTGGCTATCTGTATGTCTTCTTTGGGAAAATATCTATTCGTGTCCTCTGCCCATTTTTAATTTGATTTGTCATTTTTGGGGTGTGTATAACTTTATATATTTTGGACACTAACCCTTTATCAGATGTCATTTGCAAATATCATCATGCTGTAGGTTGTGTTTTAGTTTTGTTGATTATTTCTTTGGTGACAGAAGCTTTTTATTTTTACGAAGTCCCGTTATTTTTGCTTGTGTTTCCCTTACCTCAGGAGATAGATCTACAAAGACGTTTGTACAGCCAATGTCAAATAAGATACTGCCTGTGTTATCCTCAGGGACTTTTATGGTTTCAGGTTTCCCACATAGGTCTTTATCCATGTTGGATTTATTTTTGTGTATGTTGTAAGAAAGTGGTCTGTTGTTGTTTTGTTTTGTTTTGCAGGTTGCTGTCTAGTTTTTCCAAAACCATATATTGAGGAGACTTTAAGTGTATTTATTTATTTTTGAGAGAGAGACAGAGCATGTAGAAGAGGGGCAGAGAGAAATGGAGAGAGAGAATCCCATGCAGGCTCTACATTGTCAGTGCAGAGGCCTACACGGGTTTCAAACTGATGAACCCTGAGATCATGACCTGAGCTGAATCCACGATTAGATGCTTCAGTGACTGAGACACCCATGTGCCCCAAGACTATCTTTTTTTCCATTGGATATTCTTTCCTGCTTTGTTGAGGATTAATTGACCATATAGGTGTGAGTTCATTTCTGGGTTCCATTCTATTGATCAATGTGTCTGTGCGTTTTTTTCTTTTTCTTTTCTTTTCTTTTTTTTTTTTTTTTTTTTTTTTTTTTTTTTTTTTTTTTTTTTTTTTGCCAGTACCATACTGTTCTGATCACTACAGCTTTATAATAATATAAAGTCTGGAATTGTGATGTCTCCAGCTTTGCTTTTCTTCTTCAAGTTTGTTTTGGCTGTTTGGGGTCTTTTGTCTTTCCATACAAATTTTGGGATTACTTGTTCTAGTTCTGTGACAAATGTTTTGTTAGTGTGATAAAGATTTCATTACATGTGTAGATTGTTTTGAGGAGTGTAGACAATTTAACAGTATTTGTTCTTCCCATCCATGAACATGAAATGTATTTTCATTTCTGTCCTCTTCCATTTCTTTCATCAGTGTTTCATAGCCTTTAGAGTATAGGTCTTTCACCTCTTTGGTTAGGTTTGTTCCTGGTAGGTTGTGGTATTTGGTGCACCTGTCAATGGGATTGATTCCTTACTTTCTTTTAATTCATGATTCGTCTATAGAAACACAATCAATTTCTGTACATTGATTTCTGTATATTGTGACTTGTCGAATTCATATATCACTTCTAGCGATTTTTATGGGAATCTTTCATGTTTTCTATAGAGAGAATCATGTCAGTTACTAATAGCGAGAGTTCTACTTCTTCCTTGCTGATTTGGATGCCTCTTATTTCTTTTGTTGTCTGATTGCTGTGGCTAGGAATTCCAGTACTTTGTGGAGTAACAGTGGTGAGAGGGGTCATCCCTGCCTTGTTCCTGACCTTAGAGGAAAAGCTTTCAGTTTTTCCCCATTGAAGATGAGATTAGCTGTGGGTTTTTCATAGATGGCCTTTATTATGTGCAGGTATGTTGAGTCTCAATCTACTTTGCTGAGGATTTTTATCATGAATGAATGTGACATTTTGTCAAATGCTTTTCCTGCATCTGTTGAAAGCATCATATTGTTCTTATCCTTTCTTCTATTACTGTGGTGCATCATGTTGATTGATCTGTGAATGTGGAACCACCCTTGCAGCCCAGGAATATATCCCACTTGATTATGGTAAATGATTCTATTAATGTATTGTTGACTTTAATTTGAATGTATTTTAATGAGAATTTCTACATACATAGTCATCGAGCTATTGGTCTGCAATTTTATTTAAAAAAATTTTTTAAATATATTTTTAAATGTTTATTCATTTACTTAGAGTACATAAAGGTGAGGGAGGGCAGAGGGATGGGAGAGAGAGATTCCTGAGCATGCTCCACACTGTCAGCACAGGGTCCAATGTGGGGCTTGGACCCAGGATAATGACCTAATCCGAAGCTAAGAGTTGGACAGTCAACCGACTGAGCCACCCAGGCGCCCCTGCAGTTTTCAGTTTTAGTGGAGTCTATCTGGTTTTGGTATCAGGGTAATGATGGCCTGATAGCATGAATTTGTAAGTTTTCCTTCTTTTTTATTTTTCATAATAATTCGAGAAGAATAGATATTACCTCTTCTTTAAATGTTTGGTAGAATTCATCAGTGAAGCCAGCTGGCCCTGAACTCTTCTTGTGTTGGGGAGATATTTTTTTATTACTGATTCAATTTCTTTCTGTTTTCAGATTTTATGTATCGTTTCAATTTTGGTTTTCATTTTTATTTGTTTCAGTGTATTTTCTCATTGATTTCCTGGTTGACCCATTCATTTAGTAGCGTGTTGCTTAACCTTCCTTTATTTGTAGCCTTTCTTGCTTGCTTTTTTTTTTTTTTTTTTTTTTTTTTTTTTTGTGGTTGACTACAAGTTTCCTAGATTTGTGGTCAGAAAAGATGCCTGGTCTAATCTCTGTCTTTGGGTACCTGTTGAGGCCTGATTTGTGACCTAGAATGTGATTGATTCTGGAGAATGTCCCATGTGCACTTGAAAAGAATGTGCATTCTGTCATTTTAGTATGGAGTGTTCTGAATATATCTGTTAAACCCATCTGGTCCAGTGTGTCATTCAAAGCCATTGTTTTCTTATTGATTTTCTGTTCAGAGGTTCTTTCCATTGATGTGAGTGATGTGTTAAAGTCCTCTACTATCCTTACATTATTAGAAATGAGTTCCTTTATGTTGTTAATTGTTTTATATATTTGGTGATTGCCATGTTGGGTGCATAAAAGTTTACAATCGTTGGACCTTCCTGTTTGGTTGTCCCCTTTATTATGAGATCATGTCCATCTTCATCTCTTATTACAGCTTTATTTATTTTTTTTTAATTTAAGTTTTAGTTGACATACAGTGCATTATTGGGTTCGGTAGCAGAATTCAGGGATTCATGAGGTACATACAACACCCAATGCTCATCACAAGTGCCCTCCTTAATACCCATCTCCCACCCATCTCCCTCCATCAACCCTGTTTTTTCTCTATACTTAAGAGACTCAAATGGTTTGTTACCACTCTTCTCTTTTCCTGCCCTCTTCCCGTGTTTTCATCTATTTTGTTTCTTAAATTCCACATGAGTGAAATAATATATTTTTTTCTCTGATTGACATATTTCACTTAGCATAATACATTCTAGCTCTATCCACACCACTGCATGTGGCAAGATTTCATTCTTTTTGATGGCTCAGTAATCCATTTTATGTATGTATATACATATATATGTATGTATGTGTATACATACACACACACACACATACCCCATACTTTCTTTATACCTTCATCAGTTGATGGATATTTGGGCTTTCTTCATAGTTTAGCTACTGTTGATAATGCTGGTATAAATATTGGGTGCATGTAATTTCACTATTCGGTATTTACCCAAAGGGTACAAAAATACAGTCTTGGTTTTAAAGTTTATTTTGCCTGATATAAGTATTGATCCTGGCTTTCTTTTGACATTATTGGCATGAGAAATGTTTCTTCATTCCCTCACTTTAAATCTGCAGGTGACTTTAGGTCCAAATAAGGCTTTGTACACAGCATCTAGACGGGTCTTGCTTTGTTTGTTTGTTTTTCTTTTTTTTCTTTTGTCCATTCTGACACCCTACCCAATGTCTTTTGATTGGAGCATTTAGTCCATTTACATTCAGAGTAACTATTTATAGATATA